GTTATTAGTGGTACTGCTTTTTCATTTTAGAAAACTCAAATCTGCTTATGAATTATAAAAATTAGTAAGACCGCTAAAGCACAAATGAAATATTTTAGGTCCGCAAATAGCGGATTTTGCGTTTTAGCGGGCTGGTGCCCACCACTGAGTATCATGTAGTGTTTGATTAAAATTTTACTTTTGTAGTTACAAAGTACATTTTATTGTTAAAGGGACACACTGCAAAGAATGAAATTAAAWATGAAAAATGTTCTCCTGAGCTCTATCAAAGGGTGCAGTTTGAAAGAATTGACTCTGAAAGGTTTCCAGATATGTAAAGATGTGTAATTCTGAAATGCTGGTACACAATAAGTGTAAACAAAGACTTCTGTTTGAGTCACATGACTAACKTGCAGCTGGCTGTAGTCTGCAGATAAACAAATATGGCTTTTAAACTTAACGACTGACCAATTTTCAGTCAGTTCGGCTCTTTCTGAAGGTAAACAAATWTGAGAGCTGGCATTGAGAGCAAACTTTTAGAAGATTTTAATTTAAAGACAAATTAACCATTGGTAGATTATTGTGTGGCAGTGGTGCAGTGGTTAGAGCTGTTGTCTCACAACAGAAGATTGCAGGTTTAATCTCCCAGTATAACCCTTGGTTTCTCACACAGACACAGACCTTGCATGTTAGTGTTTTTGACAACTCTAGGTTTGATCAAGACAATGAATGGTTGTGTGAACCCCAGTTTAAGGGCATCGACACGCTATGAGAAGCACATAAAGGTAGATGGYTCAGTTTGGTTTCTTGTTTAGATTTGATTGTCTGGTCTTGAAACACTGAGAACCTTTAAAAACCCTGACATGTTCTACAGTCTGCTCCTTCAGACAATCTGAGAGCTGAAGTTAGACACAGATGAAACAGGCATCAGAGGTTTGTCTCTGACCTTGTAGACAGACTGATCTGTGCTGACTCAGCACTTCTGTGAAGGCAAACTGTTCAAGTTTCTTCCATTTCTACACAATCTGTGTGTAAATACATGTAAATGTAAAAAGGCAGGGCTGGGTTTTGTACCATTTCTCAGCCTTTTTTTTTCTGACTGCCTCCAACATCCTGTTCCTGTGCAAACATCCAGTCAAACACATATTTATTGTAAGCTCACACTTTCAGAAACATAATTAACATATTTATCAGTGCTGTTTAAAGTACCTCAAAGTGATACTTGAGTAAAAGTACAAGTATCTTATCATAAAATACTTTGGTAAAAGTTAAAGTC